GTCAGCACCATCAACTGCTGCTGCCTGGTGAACTGGAGAAACCGTGGGTGGTTGTACCTCACTCCAGCAGTTCCGATACAAACTTGGTTCCCACACTTTCATCTTAGCATCATTTTGTTGCTTTTTCTGTAATGGACGTTGCTAAATTTATAACTCTTTGCTGTGCAAATCTGACTTTGCTGTATTTAGTGTAGCCTGGGATGGGGATGCAGCGTTATTAAACCGTACTGCAAAAAAATAAAACAGGGTAAAATACTGGGCAGCTTCTTGTCAGGCAAAAGCTGGGCAAACTCAAAGGGACCATTGTAAAATTTTTGCCTGAATTGCTAGCTCTTCTTGTGAGAGCTTAGTATGAAGACTAGCATTTTTGAAGTGCTGTTTTACTGTTACTTTTGTCTTGGGATAGTCTTGGTAGTAGAGATGGGGATTGCAGTGTTCAAAATGACAGGAACAAATGTGTCCACCATCTTTTGTGGCTAATGAGATTTTTATGTGGATTAAGTAGAAGCACACAAGCAGTGGAGGACAAGAAAATGAATTGATGTAACACTGATATTCATTGAAGGATGGAAAGAGAATAGAGCATTGATTTAAAGAGTTTTCCACATCATGTTTTTTCTCACTATCATACATTACAAGTCTCATTGAGGAAAAGGAGAGTTATGTATGCCGTAGAGGAATGTTGATGGCCTTAAGAATATGAGATTTAGGGGGTGTAGTGGAAATGCTAAGTCATGGTTTGAAGTGATTGAGCACCTGGAGGGAAGGCAAGGCCAACCCACTGGAGCTCAGGTGCATGCACTCAGTGGACTTGATTAACTGCAAGCTGTGAAGCCAGGATCCACCCCTTCTCAGACCTCATTTAAGGGTTGGCAGTGGAGGTGAGGGTTTTTCATTGGAGATCCCTGCCTACCTGAGGCCTTCTGGGTGTAAGTAGAGTTTCTTCCTTTGTTTCTGCATCCATGGCTTATGCATTTGGGTTTGTCCCAGGCTGCAACCTGGGGTTTTGCTAGTCTGCTGTCGCTGCTGTGCTTTCCATCATGTTATAGCATTATCGGGGGCTGGGGTGGGGCTCTCTGGTAAAAGACTATGGATTGAGGCGAAGGAGCAGTAGGAATGCTGGTGACCAATTTAAGGAGATTTCCCATTTGTTCTCCTTTTCTCTGTTCCTGTCTACTACATTTTCATGGAATCCATATGGTATTCCATACTTTTAACAAAATTGATATGATATACCTGAGAGGATTTTGGACTTCATTGTCCCTTTGGTTTCTTCTGATGAGAAGATATTTCAGTTCTCCACATGACAATATTTTTTCTTATTAAAAAGCAAATGCTAGTTTGGACCATTCTTGTTTTTTTCCAATTCAGGAAAAGAGATTGGGGAGAGCATGGAAAGTTGACTTATTAGTCCCTTTTTTTTGTTGTTGTTGAAATAAGCACTGGTTTTCAGAGTAATGACTATTACTCTTTTCAGAGGTGTTACAGGAACCCAGTCCTTCCTGAACTTGTCTGTATAGCTTCCGACACATTTGCCATGTGGAGCTTTGCTCTTTTTGTTCAGATGGATTCTTGAGCCACTCTTCCATACCTATCAGGATATAGCTTCCTAGCTCTTCTGTAGCATGTGTATACAGGAAGAAACACTTCTCATCAGGGTAGCTGTTTACGTCCAAGATAAAAGAAAACATCTTGCTCTGTCCTTTTCATCATTCTTCCTCTTTGTTCTTTGGTCTCAACTTAGCTGTAAGCTAGAAACACTGCAAAGCTGTACTTGGCGAAGATGAAGAGCGTAACACCTAATGATCAAATGCTAGGTGTTCAGAGCCACACTTGTAGATAGGCTTCTGACCAGGCTGCCTGAGACCTTCATGGAAAGCTGGTCTGGCCGAGAGGGTAAGGGTTTAGCATCAGTCATGCTGTCCTTTGAACGTGATAAAGTCTTCAGCCATTTCCCTAGGGCACTAATGCAAAAGATTATAAAGCAGCTCTATAATTTTTGTCTATTCAGAATTTAAACTACTATCAATCATCTCAAGTTTTTAGTGTCAAATAAGATAATGTAGCCAACTATATTATTAGGAAGAGATGTGTTTCTGAAGCAGTGAATGTCTGTGGGTGTGTCTGAATAGCGCTTAACTAGATACGTGGTCTCTCCTCAACAGTGCTATTTAAAAAGAGCTTCTGCTTGTGGAGGTGGACTCTGACTGAGGGAAGCCATGCTGAGGGATGTGGCCATCTACTACTTCCTTTGTAGCTTGAATGTTTGGTAGGGAGGCTGATAAAAAAGAAGGATATAACATCACACAGTCTGAAAGTAACTTTTCTATTGCCTTTACATAAAATAGCTCTGGGGCTGAAGAAACTTGGTTGAGAGGTGGTCTGGAAATGATCTGATTTGCTCTATCTGATGGTCACTCCCTCTTTTGTTTTGTACCCTTTAAGAGGAGTTTTTGTGCTGGTGTAGATGCTGGAATGACTGATTTAGATGTGGATAGCTTGGTGCATATAAGCAGCAATAGCCTGGGCAGCTGGAAAGCAAGCATGGTGCCGCAACTCTATTGTAATCCTTGATAGAGGCTTTCCTGAGCTGGAGAAGTAATGAGTTGGAGTTCTGGTCCCTCTGTGGAAGCTGGGGAGGAGATGTGAGAGTAGAAATAAAAGGAAGGAGGGAAGGCACGTTGTGCTGAGGAGGTACTTTGGGGAGAAAGAGAACTGCGGAAAGCTGTGGCCCACGGGTAACCTAAAATAGAACTGGGACACCCCTCAGATGCCACAGCGGTGGGTGGCCCATACCATACAGGAACACCTACGGCAGCCTGCAAAGGACTTAGGCTGGAGCAGAGGAAAGAAGTAAAAAAGAAGGAAGCAGAGGAAGGAAGGGATGGGGGGGGGAGGAAAATCAAGGAGCAGCAGTAAGAAATTGCCACATAGTGCCCCAACCTCTTGCACCGCCCATTGCTTCACCCAAGGAACCGATAAGACTGAGTGCAAAATATGGCCAAAAACAGGAGGACAAATTAACTGAGATGAGGTGGCAGGTGATATGTTAGACCGAAGTTGAGCCTGGGGGACTGGAAAGAAGTAGTGTACCTAAGTGTTTAATTATTTATCATCTTTGTTTTTGCAGTGTCTCCTTCAGTAAATAAAAGTTTATGTTAATTGGCAATAAATCAAATTAAGTGAAATTCCCAAAGTTAAGACTGTTTTGCCCATGACACTTTAGAACTTACTCTTGCAAAAAACTGTTGTATCTCCCTCACAGTTATTTATAATCCCTTTCATCTGATGATTTGCCTTAATTTTAATAAGCAATAAGGTAGATTTTTCATTTTCAGAAGGCTATAACATTATGCCTCCCTAGAAAGTTGTAGAGGCTCCAAGCATGCTCTGTTGTGGTTCTCTTTTTTTCTTTATTAGCCCAGTGCAATCAAAACAAGCCTACAAAGCTAATGTTGGGAAAGAGCTGAGTAAAAAGTTTATTGGCTTCCTTCATATTGGTGTTTCTTAACCAAATAAAATCTTGACTTGTTTGTCCATGAACTCTCATAATGCCTTTGTACAAGAGTGTTCAGAGGACAAAAAGGAGGGCTCATCATTTCCTGTACTGGCAAGTGACTTTAAGATAGTGACTGCACTCATCATGCATTATAGAATAATGAGAAGAGATACTTGTATTGATCTCTTAACAGAGAAGGCACGACGAGCCATAAAAATGATGTATGGATTGTTTCACGTCACTGAAATGCAGCCATCTCAGGTGCAGGGCCTGCTAGCTACTAATGCATGCAGAGGTTTGGGGGTAATGAAGGATACTGAGGAAGTGACAAGTGGCCGTGTCACTGTGCTCTGATCTCCATGCTGGGTTTTTCCATATGGCATTGAACACTCCTTACCCAGGGTTTTCAATCACATTTGAATTGCGCTCAGGGCGAGGCCTGGCTTACTTACAAGAAGAAGGATGAAGGGGAGAGTATGCAGATGGTTGGTACTTTCAGTTTTATTCCCTTCCACCAGCAGGGAGTGAAGAGATATCAGTCTTACGTCCGAATTTACTTGGTTGCTTTGAGGCTTTTGTTTTAGTATTGTAAAATTCTCCACGTGGGTTCAATTCTTCTCGCTGCCCTTGCACTCAGTAGCCAAACTCCTGCTCTAGAGAAAACAGTGACTGGTGGTACCTTAGAAAAAGCTCCTTTGTTTTCTTCTGGAGTTTTTGTTTTTCTTTTTAAAAGCTCTGAATAGACAGATTCATTTCCAGCTATTATAGTAATAATGACCTTTGCACTAGAAAAATAATGATGGCCATAAGGGTCTCCAGCCAGGCTATTGTGGGACCCCCAGTGCTGGAGGCCAGGCATCTGGCCCAAAAATTACATGTCAAAATATAATTGGCTTCAGCAACAAAGAGAGGGAGCAGAAGGAAGAAAGGGGAAGTCAGCAGGTCGAATAGTGAGGTTGCAGGTGTTTGTGTCTAAATGGCCTCCCAATGTACCATTTTGCTCCTATAATGGCACAGGATTAGGAGAGGAGAATGACTGAGGTCTTATCAAATGTGCAAGTGAACAGCATAGCCCATCCACCTCCTGTCCCCTCCTTCAGACTAAATTTTAAAGGACTTTAAGGATTTGGAAAACCAGATTTAGCAGCTGGAAATCATTCTCTCCCTCCCCTCGTTCTCCATCCTCTTTTCCATTGCCCCCTCCATTTCCTATTTCTGTTTCATTCAGTAATTAACCTTCAGAATAATCTTCTTCCAGAACTGGCTAAGCTGTTCTTCTGTTTCCCTATTGTTGTATCCTTAAGACATAAGCAAGACCAAATGTTGTGAATTACTGATGGGTTCTGCTATCTGGAAGGCAGATGAGCTTAGCAGGGGGAAGGAGTAACGGAGGGGAAAAGGGTGAAGTGTCTTCTGCTGGTAGGGAGGAGAAGTTGGGCTTTGGGATTTTTTTGGTTACATCTAGTGTTGCTCTTTTTAGGTGGTTGTCCTCTTGGGCTCTGCAGAATGAGAGCCAAATGTGTTGTTGCCTTTTGAAAGTCAGCAGCATCACAATCAGTGTAAGCAGAGGAAGGCTGTTTTCCCCCCCTCACTTTCTCATCCTATATATTGGAAACTGTTATTTTTTTTCCATCGGTGTTCATGTTTTATTCTCTACTGTTCATTGCACTCTCTTTTTTTGCTATCAGTTGCTCCCAGTTGTCATCAGTCCACTCAATTTCTAAGAAGGTAAGCCATTGGCAGGCAGTGTGTTATAAAACAAGGTCTCTCTCCTTACCTTTCTGTTCAGTAACTTATCTGGGTGCAGACTATGATTTTACACTAGATTTTGCAATAATTTGTTCATTTTTGTCAGTTGTTAGATGAGTAGTTTGTGTGACTGAATTTTTAGCCCCTGGTTTATTTGAGAATTACGTTTTTCTGAGTATCTGTTCCTAATTTTCCGTGTCATTTGATGGATCATGGATGCCACATGACATTATTCTTGTTCCTAGATCGGTGAATCAGAGTTTGCTACAAGTTACATCCTTTAGCCTGTTGACAAGCTATCTATGAATATTTATAAGTATTCAGTGACTCTGATATTCACATAGCACAGAGGGCTGTTCAAAATATATGCAAGGACACTTCTGAATAGTATGTGTACATTGAGATATAACTGGGATCAGAATGTGCACGAATATTTTAGCATTATCTGCTTTTCTATCTCTGAACAAGCATCTTTATCCTTTCTTTCTTTGAATATGATTTTCTTGCAGCTTATTGGAGAGAAAAAAATGATCCTAAGCCTGTCTTAGAAATGAAGCACCCAACTTTGCTCCTTCTCACTGAGTCATTTGGTTCTTATCTCCATTCAGTGAGGTTTTTCTCTTGAGGTGGGTAGGGTGGCTGTGTTGATCGGTGATGGAGAAGTCAAAAAGACAGCAAGAATGTGCATAAATATTATTTGGGAACAGCTGTCTTGTTGACCCTAGTAATAGTGTTCACATTGCCTCAATTTGATCTGTAGGCAAAAATACTGAGCTGGTACAATGTGTTGCAGTACTTCCTTGCGTAAATGAATAGAAAATCATGTAGCCAGAAGTCCTCATGTTGATGAGCTTGCTCAGCTGTCTGTGGGCTGAGTCAGAGTTGTGTACAGGCTAGGATCTCAGCTTGCTGATACGGGTCTATAGCCCACATAGCTGATGTTCCTTCTCCAAAGAATCTTGACTCTGTTACTCCTTTCTGCTTTGGGCTATTGACTTCAATAATTTTAGATCAGCCTCCACTGAAAATAAGATTTTTAAGTAAAATAAATATGGGAGTTGCTTCAGTGTTTTCTGGGATGTGAGCCTTTGGTTTTTGGTATTTTTTTTTTTTTTTATTCTGCTTAAAAATATTAATGAAGCATTGCATGAAACATTCATCTTTATGGAGCAGTAGCAATGTTTGCATCTTTTCTGTGCAGCAGCTAATACCAGAATTCACTTAATTAAAAATGAAATGGTGAATTGTAATGGCAGGGCAGGAGAAGGCTCGAGTTGGAAGCCTGCCGAGTATTGGATTTTCAGTTGAGTTGAGTGATGCTTGTAGCTTTGCCACTAAGTTCTACGATTCTGTGTTTAAAAAGTTGTGAGAAATTTAATGGAAGCACCTTGAAACTCCCTGGAGCAAAACAGACTTCAGCTTTCTGTGTGTGCAGTGACCTAGCACTGTGGATCCTTGGCCTATAACGGCATGTACCTTGAAGAACTAGATGGTTAGTAGAGATGAAGAAAAGGATCTTGCAAAGCACTTGTTTTTGCTGCATGCAAAATAACCTTGGGAAATAAGCCCCCTTCGCATTATAGAGCCAATTCAGGACTAATTTATTATATTTACTTTTAATGGCTCCCTTCTGACAGCTAATACAAGTATTCCACGTAATCCTTAAGATCTGTCTGATATTCTCACAGCCAAATATGAGAGCAGTGGTATTTTCTAGTTCCCCAAGTGATCATCTTCTGATGTGCTCATCTTAAATGAGAATGTGAGTTCTTTGGGGCAGGAAGCTATATTTTTGTTTCAAGCACACCCATAACTGCTTAAAATAACTCTGTTCTTACTGTCAGCTGAAAAGTTGGTCCTTTCTGATCCAAGAGGCTGTCGCTGCAAGGAACTAGATATGCTTTTTCTTGGTATCTGATGAAGACTTTTGTCATTTCTGAACTAAATTTTCAAGAAAGATGGCAAGGAAAACCCACGCAATTACAGGGTGGAACTACTGCCAAGGAGCTGCAGTCCAAGACTGGGCACAGCCAGAGGGTTGTGGTTAACAGCTCTATGGTCAGGTGGAGGATGGTCAGGAGTGGTGTGCCCTAGGGTGCTGTCTTGGAACTCTTCTATGAAGAAAGGTTGAGAGAGCTGGGCTTGTTCACCTTGGAAAAGAGGAGGCTCAAGGGAGACCTCACTATGGTCTTCTAGTACTGGTATGGACATTATAAAAATCAGCCTCCCTTCTGTTTATATAATCTGGTAGTGACAGAACAACGGGGAATGGCTAATCTAAATGGCAATTTAGATTACTTATTAGGAGGAAATTCTTTAATCAGAGGGTGATGAGACTGCCGCAGGCTGCCCAGAGAAGCTGTGGATGTGCCATCTCTGGAGGCATCCAGGGCCAAATTTGGTGGGGCACTGAAGTCTGGTCTGGTAGGTGGGCTCTGCTCACAAGGAGGTTGGAAGGGACCTAATTCCAAACTAAGCCATTTGATAATTCTCTGCTACGATCCTGTTTGCTCATTTCTTAATTTTGTTTCTTTTCTTTTATAGGTAAGTCTTAGGGCTTTTTAATCATCTCCTGATTGTCCTGAAAGTAATGGTAAGTTACTTAATTTGATTTAAATATTTTTACATAAGTATTCTTTCATATATACTTTCACTAAGTAATTTGGATTGATGACAAAAATGCTATGGTGTGTAATGAAGATATTGAAGGGAAAAGATAAATAGATATGCACTTCTTCTGAGTCCTAGTCATTGTTAAATATCTTGATGCTATTTGAGAGTAGCTGTGGTAAATACCAGTATTTCACTGTAACTGATGATCATTAATAGTTACAAAATATCACAGCATCGTGTAATCCAAATATATAGCCAACACTGCTTCTATGTTGAGCGTGGGAAACAGCAACCAATGTGTGTACTGGAGTTGGTTATATCCAGGAACCTTAAGATCTTGCTGAGTGTTGTATTAAGAAGACCTTCGTACTGCAAAGCCTTCCTTTCTAGTTGTGTTGGAATGGATGTTGTGCAACGATAGAACTTTCTTGAGTGACAAGGAAGGCTAGTATATTCTTATGGGATAGGACATTAGCAGAGTCCATCGGTTTCCAAAGGAAGTTTTCTGTGTTTATCAGAAACTTACTGTGTTCTATGACACTCGACCTTTACTGTAATGTGACAGCTGAGTTCTGTTGAAGTTCTGGAAAGTCAGAGTAAAAACATCCATACTAAAATGCGGTCTGGAAGAGGCTGCTAGCATGTATCCTGCTCAGATCAACCTATTGACTCAAAGTGGGTGGTGCGATTTAGGGGAATGGGCATCTCAGCCAGTGTCAAGATATGTGGTCTACTGAGCTGAGTAGACAAGCTGTTTCCTTAGAAGGAACTTCTGATCCATATCTTAAGCCTTGTTCAGACTAAAGTACCCAGAGTGGCACACTTCCAGAATTGCTTGCTGTTTTTTTTTTTTCAGTAAAAGTCTTCATTTCACAGGTAAACCTTATGGCTCTGCCTCTCACTATCTGCCTAATGTGATAAAATGAGTAAATGAAATGTCTCAAATGTTGATACTGTGCTTGGATTAAATAAGGAAAACTAAGTTGGTTAAGTCTGTACAATTAAGAGATTACTTTTGATGGTCAGCTGCTATGCTTGAGCTCCTTCCATTCTTGCTAACAATTTTACATGCACTGGTTGCAATGGTTTTTCCGAAAGTCAATGTGGAATTAATTTAAACAGCAAATAGTTAATTGGCATGTTGGCAGTGGGAAGATGCTTATAGTCCAGATGTGGTCTGTCAATATCACTACAGCTTTGTACTTGAAGAATATCTCTCTTACGCAGGTATACGGTTTATTTAGTGGTTGAGGAGGGTAGAAGGACACTAGAGTTATCCAGATCCTGTACAAAAATGTGCTGAGGATTTGATTACTGTTGCTGTGGAGCAGCAGGTAGTCCATGGATTCTGGGTTAGAGCTGGTGCTGAAGTCGACAGCAGAGCTTTCTCTTTTCTTTTACTCTTGTCTGTCTGCAGTGTGACATGGTCCGTGATCCTCAGTCACACAGAAAGGAGTAAGCAAAACTGTGCAAAGTTTGTCATCTATCCTAGTATTTCAAGCTCCATTAGAATCAGAAAGGTTAGACACATTGTTTTCAATATGGCACAGGACAAAACTATGCTGTGTGACTACAAAGAGGGAGTAAATCAAAGTGCCTAAAATGACATTAAAGAGTAGGGACAAAACTCTCAAAAGCACCTCAGCTGCTCACGAGCTTGTCTTCCTGAAAAATCAAAGGAGTTGGGGATCTGAGTTCTTTTAAAAAGTGGAACTTGTTTTTGAAAGCTACTTTTGAAGACACATGCTTTGCATTTGCAAACTTGTTTGTTCCTCATCTAGGGAACACGCTTATTAAAATCAGTTACCATGATGTTCAGGGTACTGTGGTTTCTTAACACAGTGTCCTCTGATCAAGAGAAAAGCTTTTCAGCAACTGGTGCAGGGTAATCACCATATGGCGGAGTGTTGTGGGATGGTTTATTATGGTGTAGGATAAAGTGGAAACCTGTAGATTATGTGGTCTGTCTCTCATTCCTTGTGAAGTTCATCTTAAGACTGTGCAATGCGTTAGTGACTTTCCACTAATGCTGAAGTTGGACATCCCTCTGTGATCTCACTGTGCTGAAAAGCTCATGCTGCTTTGTTTCTTTTTTGAACTCCTGGCTTAAGTGTATTCATGGTCAGTAAACATCCATATGTTCTAATGTCAACATGATCTCTTAGTTTAAAGAGCTCTTTTTCTTCTCTGGTGCTTACCCATCTGATGAATTTACAGCCTGTAATCACACAGCCTTATATCTCTTGCTGTCTTTTCTATCCTGTCTTCCTACACATTCAGACAGGGAATGGAAGGGAGAGTTTCCAAAATGATCTGCTGGGCTGATGTAGCACCATCTTGATGGGAGCCGCGATGCAGCTGAACAAACTTTCACCTCAAACAGCCTAATGTATTGACTTTATACGGGAGAACAGGGCTATAAAAATTGCAACCCTGTGTTGCTTCAACAGTGCTCAAGCAGTGAAGATGGATATCAGCCTAAGCAATATAAAGGACTCCAAATCTGCTTAGTGGCATCTGATGGCATATTTAGTGTTAGTACTCAGATGGGCTTCACTACAATGTTTTTTGAACACATCTGCTAGTCTGTGAGCTTTCTTTATTAATGAATCACAAAGAGGCACTGGGAATGAATGTATAGTTACAAGTGATTGGTCTGCAAATATATATTTTTTTCTCCTTGGCTTTTAAATTACCTGCTTAGTATTTTAGGGATTGCAACTTAGTGGGAGTGATATGCCTAAAGGCTGTCTGAGCGTCTGGAATTCTCCTTCATAAAGCAATTCTCTGGTCAAGCTTTCAGGTGCATTTTATATGGGAGAGTTCTGTTGATGCCTATTCAGAGGCTGTCATGTGCTTTCTGACTATATATTGGTGCCTGATATGAAGACAGAGTCCAAAGAATTTGCAAAACATGGCACCTTGCTGTGTCTTTAAAGAGCTCGTGA